TATGAAACAAGATTATTTAGGAGAACTGGTTTGTGTTTTGTTTTAGTTTCCCAAGTTGCAGTCAGTCGGAAGTCTGTGTACAAGATTGGTATCAGAAGTTTTATTCAGAATTTTTTCTTTCAGCAGATGTTCCTTGAATCTGCTGAATGCTTAATTTTGTGTGATAGACCTAAAAATGGCAATTTGCCTAGAGAAATAGCAGTGTGTTGCTTGTGTGTATAAATAAAATACCCTTCCTTACCAACCCTTGCTTCTTTTTTTCATGCTTCAACACCTCAGAAGGTACTTAAACAATTCAGAGGAAGTCCTGAAAAAGTAATCTAAAAGTAGGCTTAAAAATACCAGTGTAAAAATCTATAAAAAGGCTTGAACAGATGAGTAAATGCTGAGAAATAAAGAACTAATACCTTCTTTTGCACCATCAAATAAGTCAGTGACAAAATTTCTATAGATTTCTGGGCTGCCTAACATCTTAATTGCTGTTGTTGGACAACATTATGGAGGACAGATAGGCATCTAAATTTTAAAAAAGACTGCTAAGACTAGACACTGCTTCAGTTCATTAGTGACTGAATATGATGTATAATAGCTGTGGTTTAAACATTAATAAGAAATAATCTATAAATAATAATAACAAATGTTTTTAATGAGTATTGCGTTACTAGAAAGTATAATGGCACTGTAAGACCAAAAAAAATTGTTGCAACTGTACAATTAATCAGATTATTTGTGCTTTCAACTTTACTAGCATGTGCATTGGTAGAATATTTATTTATTTAACAGATCGCCCCTGGTGACTTATATTTCAAGTTGTATCTGGTATAAATACTTGCTAAGGCTTTCCAAGAGGCGGACTGAGTTTCAGAAGTAGTACTGACTTGCTTTGCTTGCTTTCCAACGGATCTTGCAGATTCTTTTTGGAAACACAAGGGGAGCACAAAAGACCAGCTCCCTCACTAGGAGATGATGTTTGCATATTTTATTTTTTGCTTTGCTTAACCCATTGCTTCTGCAGTTACTTCCTGGAAACATGAACAGAGGATTTGCTTCCTTAGAGGTTATCTTTACTACTTTTTTTAATCTTCCAGGCACTGGAACAGGCTGCCCAGGGAAGTGGTTGAGATATCATACATGGAGGTATTTGAAAGACATGTTGATGTCATTCTTAAGGACATGGCTTAGTGGTGGACTTGGCAAGCTGCTAGCTTAGTGGTTGGACTTGATGATCTTAAAAGTCTTTTCCAACCTAAGTGATTCTATGAGGTTTTAAAAGCCGCATTTGTTTGAACAGCAGAAGAAAGGCCCTTTTTTAAGTCCCTCACCTCTGATAATTCTGCTCCTTTACCAAGACTTTGTAATGAAGCCAGTTCAGTCTAAAAGTGGGAAAGAAAGTTTGGTCATGCTTTCTTTTTATGTATATTTCAGGAATATTTGCTCATAAATTTATTTTATTGCTGTCTGTTAAAGACATTTTAATTTAACTTCTTGCACTTTATGGAAAATTTTCTTTGCCTGTATTGCTCCTTTGACAGAATTATTTTTCACTTTCCTATTCACTTTTTTCTACTCTTAGAAAGAAGCAAGACAAAGCTAAAAACTTGCCACAGAAAGACTGAAATTTTTTTTTGGTCTGCTCTTAGTGTTTGATCTTAGCTGAATTTAATGTCAGATAGCTGAAATCCAGAGTCCTAGTGAAGAATCTAATGATCTCCCTGCTTTCTGCTCTGACACCAACATGATCTTGCAGTGATACTTTACATTTGCAGAGGCATTTTGGTTATACCTGTAGAGAACATCTCTTCAAACAATGTGCCATTCTCAGGTGTTGGCTTTTTTTGTGTAGGGTTCCTTACACAGAGTTAGTAACCACTGTCTTTTGTCATAGTATGTACTGGTTCTAGGCAGAACTAAATCCAGATTTCTGATTTTAATTGGAATCTTTTATAAATATTTCATTCTAAAATAGGCTTTTGATAGAATATTTTAATAAAATCTCTCCAAACTGACATTTGGCATGCACTTTATCAGCTAACCAGCCCTCCAGACTGCGTTGTGGTTTTTTTTTTTCCCTTTTTTTCAGTTGGGTAGATTTTGACAGAAATTGCTGCCATAGGAACATTACAGAAATCAAATTAGCTGTTCAAAATTCCAGGAATTTAACCCTAATTTGCATTTTCTATTTTAAAAGATATGAGGTTGGGGACCCACTGCTGCAAAACACAGCTGCTGCTTCTGCTCTTGTTGGTGGCTTTGCAGAACAGAATAGTTCTTCTAGCTCTCTAAGCAACTGGCAGAAGACCACAAAGAATCGGATGGCGCTGCATTTATCAAGAGGGAGAGACTCATTGCTGTTTATCTCTGTGCCCACTTGGCAGACTGCAAAATAGGAGGGGACTTTGCTGTTGGCATTGGAGAGCTTTACAGCTTTTGTGAATGTTACCCTGGGCTTTGCTCACAGTGAAATAGTCCTCTTGTAATCATAAAGGGCATTTTCTTGGAAGCAACACTGCTTTTTAATGGTTGCAGTTAGAAATAATGCTTAGGTTTGTAACCTGCTTTAACAGAAAAAAAACCAAAACAAAAGCAAAACCAATTCTGTGATGAAGTTTGGTATTGGACAAATATATTTGCAGTGGTTGTGTAGTAAATTTGGTTAGACTTTAGTATTTTCTTTCTGTAATATATTCAAACCAGTGTTAAAGTAACTTTGAACTATGAAAGAGAATTTTCATGTGTATTCTGGTGATCTATACTGTACTCTTAAGATATTTCTTTTTTGAAAGTAGATGTCTCCTTTTTATGGATCTGACTTGCAGGAATGATACTAAAACAAGATTAAGAAATCACTTTGGAATATGAATGATACAGAGAACACAACTACTCATCTCTCTGTTTCTCCCTTCGGTTACTCTTGAATAGCTACTTAAATTTCCTTAGTCAAATGGCAGTTTTGAAACACAATCTAAACTGTTAATAAGATGGGATACATTTCAAGAGATTTCATTAAACATGTGGCCCACATTCATAATTTCTGCCAGTTACCTTCCCAGTTTTATTACTATTACTCCTAATTTGCAAATAGGAACAGCTGGCGAAGTTATCCAAGGGAGGCTGTTGCTCTGATGTCTTTTTTCAGGTAACTGGGAGTTATGAGGTGGAATTGAATTTGCAGTTTGTTAAGTCCAGTGTGTTTTCTGAGGTCACAGTTTTGCACACAGGGACATCCCATGCAATTCTAAGCACTTTATGACTGATAAAGCTTTGTTCTGTTGAGAGGGAAAACAACATTAAAAAGCAATTCTGAGAGGTCCTTCCTGGCTTGAAGGCTTTCTGAATCTAAGGTTCTGCCTTTCTGTTTAGAGCTGTATCCTTGTGTTTACAGGCTATGAGTTGTGCTAGCATCAAAACTGACTTCTTTTCTGATAAACAGCTAGTTTTTGTCAAAGGCATTTTGCAATACACGTGGGTAACAAGTAGCCTGTTGCCATGAAACCCATCTCTGAAATACTGCTGAACTGCTGGGTTCTGATTAGTTGATACAATAATAAAACTCTTCACGTGGTGATGTAGTTAAAACTCATTGCCTTTGTAAATCTATTTATTTAAATAGTGTTTTCCAGGATTAGTTGCAGCAATGTTGTTGGTTTTCATTCTGGTTTCCCCAGATGTTACTTCTATTCCTTCTTCACTCCTATAAAAAATAGGACAGTCTTAGTGTCTTTCCTGCACAATATTATTTACATTTCCCTGAAATTATTTTCATTTATTTATTTGTTTGTTTGTTTGTTTTTATTTAGAGCTACTTTGAAGAATCTGTGTAAAGTTACTAGCTTGGTTTATTTTTCAAGGCTCTTCAGGAGACAGTGGCTGAACAACTGCAATTCCAAAAATTGATTCTTACTCTTTAATAGATCACATAGTTCAGCAAAATGTATTTCAGAAAGGAGCTCTGATCTGTTCCACTTTATAAAAGATACCAGGGAAATGTGATAAACAGCCTGGACATGCAATCTAAGCTTAAGCAAATAATAAGTAAAATTGTGTCAGTGGAACTTATGCATATGCTTAAAGTTAAGCATGTATATTTAAATGTTACCTTACATTGGTCAGGGTTTTCTCAGGTAGAAGCAAGTTCGTGCTTGCAATCATGCAGCATACTGTTAGCTCAGCCCTTGATAAAATAAGATCTTATGGTTCTTGTTTAGAAGTAAACAAAACCACTAGCTTGTCAGTTTGGCCCTTGGTTTTGGTAAAATGAGGAGAATGGTGCATATTTAAGTGAAATTTGAAGACAGGTCAATGACTAGGTTCAACAGAACTTTCTGCTTGTGTTCTCTTAGATTATAAATAAATTCTGACTAATTTGGCATCCTAAATGTGGAATGTTTCTCCATTTCCTGAAAAGTTTCTATTTATGAGTGTGCCACTTCTTACATTATTTTGTTTCATTCTCTTCTGATGCTTTCAGGTTTCAATAACTTCTCTAATGCGGAAGTTCTGTGTTTATTGGTATCTTTTTACAAAGGGCTTATTTCATTTGTGTTGTGACATATGTATGTGCATATGTGCATGTATGTATGTAGTTATAATTGAATCTAATTATATGCAATTACCTTTGTATGCATATATATGTAAAAACTTCACTATGAAACTGTATGTCCAGGGTACTATAGTTCTATTTCTGTGCACCAATAATATGTTTTAAAAGTTTTTTTTTAATCTGGAATCACAAACACAAAATTCATTTAGAAATTTACACTGCATAGCAGAAATAGGATTATCTTGTAAATAAGGCAAACTGTTTTTAAATGATGAATTACTGTAAATAGAAAAAATAGGGAGTATCTGAGTCTCAATTTGGTTATAGTGTGCTGGGTTGTACATGTCACAAGAAATAATTGTTTATATGTCTCTGACTAAAATTTTGAAGTAGTATTATGCTGTTCTTTCCGTGCTTCAAACTCTCTAGAATAATATTTTTCTTTTTGCTTTTTTCCCAGCACTTGCTACTAGCAATAAAGTTTATAATGGCATTTGTAATTCCGGATAAACCAAGAGATATCCAGATTAAACTAGCCAAATTGGAATTTGAATCTCTGGAGGCTCTCAAACAACAGGTAAGAGCAACTTGATGTGTAGAACAATTAAAAGTATGAGTGACCTGAAGGAAGGATAAACTAGGAAGACTCTGTTTTTTTTTCAGATGGATAAATACATAGATCCAGGGGTTCTGAAATTCCTGTTTACATTGTATTTGTAGAATGATAGAATGGTTTGGGTTGGAAGGGACCTTAAATTCATCCAGCTCCAACCCTCCTGCAGGGACACCTCCCACTAGACCAGGTTGTTCAAACTCCATCCAACCTCGCCTTGAACACCTCCAGGGAGGGGGCATCCACAACTTCCCTGGGCAACGTGTGCCAGTGGCTCACTGGAAGATTATGATTAGAAAGTTTAAACTGTTCCACCTCTATCCCACAGGTTGTACTGGCAGACCTGGGGTAACTGAATGGGGTGTGGAACAGTCACTGGTAGTACAGTGTACAGCACAGAGTATTAAATAAATAGAAAACATTGCTGGTTTACTTCTACACGTTGAATTGTGAACTGTTGCAGTTCAGATACTGCTTTATTTTCTGTTAATCTGTCACTGCTTAAGAAGTGGAGCAGACAGCTGGAAGTTTTAAAAGATTCATCTGTCCTTTCAACCCACCGATGTATGTGAATCAAGGCTAGGAAAATGGTCTTCCAATTCCTGGTATGGTTAGTAATGTAGCAACTTGTTAACGTCTGTTGTCCTTGTGTGTGCAGATACACTTTGTTTATATTGTCACTTTTAAAGCACATTGAGCTCTATGAAACATCCTTTCATGGCCTGGAGGTGATGGATTTCTTTAATTAAAATTTCTTGGATTTCACTAGGATTTCTTCCATTGCTGAAATACCATCACAAATAAGCATTTAACTTGGCTGTAATATAAACAGACATTGTGACCAGGCTGAACATGTTTGAAATAATAGTGTTGAGAACAAAGCATGTATGAGAGGATGGTACTGTTGCCTTATTTTACTGTCCATATAATATTGTAATTTTATTACAGAAATAAGTTACATTTTACAATATACCTAGCGAGCATTCTGAAGCAATTTGGAAAAGTGAGGAACCAGATTTTTCTACTGAAGATTTCTGTTTTAAGAAATTATTCTGTAGAGAGTAGTCAAGATCACAACAGGTGAAGGATTGTGTGGAATTAGGTTCAGCAGGATACAGAGCTGGTTTTGCAATGGCAGAGTTCTTTAGAAGTTTCTGACTGCACCATGCTAGATAGGATTTCTAAGCTTACTTATATACAAGAAAAAAAACCTCAACAGCTCTGGAGCTGCAGAGACTGCTTCAAATGTTTATTGTTACCTCAGATATTTTTACACTGCAGCATGTGTTTTTACATGAACATACTCTTCGTGTGTTCCACGTGCAGATGAGTAACCTCTATACTGTCTTTTTTGTATAAAATGGGAGGTTATTTTTAAAAAGATCTACCAGAGCTCCCTGTGACAAAAATGATATATTAGTTGTGGACAAACTGAGCCTGTAAACAATACACTGCCTTTTCTAGTTAAAAACCCAGTTTTGTGTGATACTAGAATATCACTTTTGAGGTCAGCTCTGTCTTCTGTAATCAGCCATAACAAACAAAATCCACATTACAAGTGAATCTAATGCCTGATAGTTTTGTTTTGCCTTTCCTCTGTGTTGATGTGAAGGTACAGGTATGGTTATGGATCTTACAGGCTTTTTAGATAATATTAGAAGGAAAAGGAGTGCATTTCTATTGTAGTTGTTAACTCTCAGTTTTCATTTCATAGACAGACAAAAATAGGTCATCCACTGGAACCTTAAGCTTAAGTAAATATAGTCACCTATGTTTATAATGTGCAGTCTAGAATATATATGGAGTCTATCTTAATATGAGTGTGCATGTCAGCAGTTAGGACTTCATCTCCTATCCTTGCATCTGTGCATTCCCTGCAATAATATATACCTGATTCCTAGTTCTTCAGGATTGTTTCATTACTTCAGTGGTGAAAAGTTAGTCTGAATTTCAGTAAGAACCAGAAGGCTGGTAGTTCTCACCTAATACTTTCAGGCTTCCTTCAGGATCCAGGAAGAATATTGGCTGGTTTTCAGGTGCCTTGGTAGGTACTTTAAACACAAGCATCTACCATCACCTTTTAATATTTCCTCTAGTTGATATTGTGCTGTGAATCCCATAGACATGGAGTGATTTGACCGTAGTTTTTTTCAGTGAAAAATACCTAAATTTAAAAGTAATATGTTGGCAGTGCAAAAAGATAAGCATTTCTAAGAAGTACATTTTCTAGTCCTTCGTCTAGTTACTGACAGTCATCATGGTAATCGATGCTGTATATCTTACTTTGAGGCAAAAACCAGCAACAAAATTCCCCAAAACTACTGTTTAAATAACAGGTATAAAACTCTGGGGCAAATGTGTTGTGGGATCACATGTGAAGGAGAAACTGGTTTATATACTTTTGTGCAAATAAGTTTCACATTCCTCTCCTGGTGCTATGGAGACATGCATGCCCTTGTGTTTTACCATGTGAGCTTTCAGAATACTACTGTATTGGGATGTAGCTATTAGAAGGGTATTAACACTGTCAAACTGGAAATCTCTCAGATGCCAAAATGCATTATTAGAGTCTGTATGTGGTGCATGGAGAGAAAATCATCAGTTGTATTGATTATGCTTGTGATCCTTAACTTCAGACAGTGTGAGCACCTTTACATTTTCATTAATGCTGAGCTAATTGCTTTTTAACTTGATGTAGTGGGACTGTAACTATCCGGTGTTCAAATCCATTTGAAGACTGAATTAAGTGTCTACTTGAAAAGGATTTTAGGGAATACAGTGTCTCAGCTCCTAACAGAGATAAATGATCATCATTAGAACTTGTTAAAACCTTCTATGTGGTAAAAAATGCCATAATTTAAAAAATAAATCCCTTTAGATTGGAATGGCAGACTTGTTGTGAAGTCCTCAAACTTGTCTTAAAGTTTTTAGGAAGTTCTGAAATGTTTCTGTGAAACATTCTTTTACATAGTTTGTGTTAAGTCTCTTGAAAGAGAATTGATTGTTGGATTGTTAATAATTTGATCTATTTTCAAAATACTTTGTTATGATCACTCACGTAACTCAACACAAAATACTTCAACCTTTCTGAAACCAAACTGAGGAATGTGCTACATTTGTAAATTATCTTCAGATTTCCCTGGTGTTCTGTAGTGTAAAGAATGGTAGAGGAGACTGGTTAGACTCTTATTTGGGGTGCGAGGAGAGGTGGAGGGGCAGAATAAAATTAGTGTGAACTCCTTAATAGAGGTCTAAAGATAATATGGATCAGGATTTTTGGAAGAGGAGCCATTCACACTGCCTCAAGTGTTGTCAGTTTCTCTGTCACCTGGAAGGAAGTCTGGATGCTGGGCAAAGAGGGTGCTCTCTGCTGCTAGGGTGATGGGCCCTTCTCTGGTGAACATCATAATCCTTCTCAGGGAAGCAGCCAGGACCAATGCTGTGAAACTTGTGTGAGGACACTATCTAGCATTTTCGGACAGTGGTGCTGAAAGCTACATGGATAAGCATTTTAGCTTCTGGACAGATCAAAGCTTAATGAATACACAAAAGGTTGGAGATGAGTCAGCAATCTATCCTTATGAAAGGTCTAAGTTCCAGAAACACAAGACAACCACAGATTAAAGAGCATAACTTGCATTTTGTGGGCTAGATTACAGCCATGTTTTCAGGTATTCTGAGATCTTCCCAGTATTACTTTCTTTGAATTGAGGCAAACATCAAATTAATACCTTTTTCATGCACTGAAATTTACCCAGGCAAAGCAAACGAGGCACAAATTTGGGGCAAGTAATTATTAATGAAATTATTTTCTGAGCATGAAATACAGAGAGTAGTAACTCCAATATGATGGGTAACTAGTTGCCATTTCTCAAGGAAAAAAAAAAAATTAAATGGAGGGAAATGGTGCATCTTTTCACAAAGTGCAGCTACCTAGACAGCATTTCTATTAACTCTGAGCATAAAAGTTTAATGATGTAAAAATTGTGGGTTTGATGGCACTTTTGCATTAGAAAAAAAGATAAATTATGTAAAGTGGATAAACATGTTTTTGCTTATAGCATCTCCTTCACTATCTCAGCAGAATAAACGTAGCCCTGACAACAATAGAGAAATAAACTTTAGTGCAGCAGTTGGCTTTTTCAGGGCAGCTGCAGGGGAAAAAAAACTGTCCTTAAACTGGAGCAGAAATGCAGATGTGGAGGATTTTTGTTCTGTGCATCCCTTCCCTGTTCCCTCCCCAGCCCTTACCTCCAAGGGAACCTGATCTATAAACATCCTATCATTTCTGTGTTCTAATTTACTTCCTTAGTGTTCTGCCTTTTGGTGGCCAGTATCTTTTAACTGGAATGCCTTTTCATTCTGATAAGTGAAGCCTTTCAAGGCTTCCTCTGAAGAAGCAAGTCCTTATGTTGGATATCTGGTGTCCATCTGCAAATGTTCCACCAGAAAGACTAGCTATCACCAGATAGCTAACATGCTCTTGAGAAAAGGGCACAGCCAGCTGATTAACAGTTGTTATCCTTCCTCAACTGCAAGCAAGGAAAAGGGTCAAGCTCTTGGAACATCATCCATGAAGTTATGCCTCCTTTATCCTCCCTGGTCCTTCCTGGTGTATTTTGTTTCAGAGTGTGATAAAGCAATGTAGTTTTTCAACCTGGGCCAAATGGAGAAAGACTTTTTGCTGTCATGCAGCATCTCCCATGGTGGTTGTACCATCTACATTCAGTTGCTTACTGGAGGTGGTGTAGTCTGAATATCCATAAAGAATTGCTTTGGAGTGAGATTTAGGTGTTTATAAACCAGTATTGCCCCTTCTTAATGATTTCCAGCAAAGGAAGTTTTTCAAAACAGCAGTAGGTGTGACATTCACCAGGATTTCTCCAGCAATGTCATCTGTTTCCTGAAAATGGGTCTCATGTGTCTCAGTACCATTTCCAAGACACACAAGAAATGAAGAATGCTGTGACTGATATCTGCATCCTCTTCATTGTTTCACCATCCCTTTCAAAAAGAAGCTAAGTAACACACTGTCATGTTTTGAGGAAGCTTTTGGTAAATGAGAGAAAGAGGCAGGTGTCTATTTGCCTAGGGACAGTCATATGGAAAGTTTAAACTCTTTCTCCCTCCTTCTACAGGTATTCTGGCTTATAAAAGTTGCTGTTCTTTACAGTAAAAACCTTCTTTGAGTCATTTCAGTGCTTTGACATTGCAATGCACTGCACTGCACCAGCTGTAATTGCAGAGGTTTCTGGTTTCTGATTGCAATGACTGGACCTTGCTATTTCCCCTAGGAATAGTATCCACTAGCACTAATCACATCCTTTCCAGAAGGAATACGCTAAGTGTGAA